CTGGGAAGAGCAGTGGCCCCAGGTACCATGGTCTGGGCGGGAGGGAGCCACCTTGGTCATGGTTCTGTCCGCCGGCTGGGGGTTGATCTATTCCTGTGGACCGTGGCTAATGTTAAATAGGGCAGGCTCAGCTCTGTAGAGGTTCCCAGGAGGCCTTGGCTTGGAAGGTGCCCACTCTCAGCTCAGGAGTCAGGGTGTCCTCCCAGCAGACCCATTCCCTGGGGTGGGAGACACCCACCTAGCAAAATGAAGCCCCCATCCCAGCCTGCTGCTCTCGGAACAGCATGATACTCTGTCTGGGTAGCCTGGGGGCTGCTAGCCGTGGACTGTGGCTGCCTTGTGGTTGCTGGCATCTTGGCTTAGTGGCTGAAGGGGTAAGACAGTGATCGTCCGAGGACAGCCCGTCTCCAGATGTTTCTGCCAGCCACCTGACACACCAAGGTGCACCTTCTCCCAGACACTGTCCCCTTCCCCGCTCCTTGCCTTCACCTGGACCAATCCCACAACAGCTGGGGCACCCCTCTCTCCTTCCCAGCAACGGACAGATGGGCCTGGGAGGGCTCCTCTGGCTGTCTACTTGATGGGGCTGAGCTAGTCACCATGAGCCAGCCAGGGCACTCCTATTTCACTGCAGGAGAGCTTGAGCCAGGCTGGCGGAGGCGGCTGCAGCTGAGGGAGAGCGCAGCTGCGACCTGTGAGGACTGTCGACGACGACACATGGGGCAGCAGGCCCACGAGTGCTGTTGAGCCAGCCTGTTCAGGCTCTGGGACCTAGAGCACCCCTGTCCTTGGGAGCTGGCTTCCTGGTGGGAGACAGACCACAAACAGTAAGGCGGGAGCTAGGGAGGCCTCTCTCAGAATGTCCAGGATGGGTAGGCAGCATCCCAGCAGGGCTGCACCGCGCACGTTTGGGGGCCTGAGGGAGGCAGGGTCAGAAGGAAGAGGTAAGAGGCAGTCCTCACGATTCTGTCTCCAGCCCTGAGCTCCTGAAGAGGCTGGTGGGACATCCCTGAGAGCTGGTGTGAGAAGTGGGACACTGAGCCGACCATAGAGTAGGGTGGGTGTCAGGGAGAGATGCTGGGGCTTCAGGGAGGAGGTGCTGGGGCTTCAGGGAGAGGGGGGGTGCTGGGGCTTTAGGGAGAGTGAGGTGCTGGGGCTTCAGGG